GTATTAAATTTTATATTTCTATTAAAACAAGCTGGAACAGTTTTCTTGGGCTTTTTCATGGTATACTTTTAGCATTTTTTTTAAGGTCATTACTGGTGGTCCATAAATACATAGGTTGGGACCAGAGTTCTCAAAGTGTAACAATAGTTAAATCTAACAAAACAACCTAGATATTCCTAGGTATCCCATCTTTAACTTCCTCTTTGCATGGGTGGATTAATTCATTATATTCAGTAAATATGAACTTTTAAAAACTGATAATGTTTTTAAATCCATAAATAATAAAAATACAAAGAGTACTTAATGAATAATCAAGTACTGATTTTCTAATTCTAAATATAGGTGTTGTTGAACTAACTGTGTCTTGGTCTGTATTATATTGCTATAACAAAATACCTAAGACTAGATTATTTGTAAAGTAAAGAGACTTATTTGGCTCAAAATTCTTTTTTTTTTGTGTGTGTGTGTCTTTCTGTGCCTGATTTATTTCACTTAATTCAATTCCTTTCAGGTTCATCCATGTTTTCACAAATGACAGGATTTTCCACTTTTTTTTTACTTTTCTTTAATTAGTTGCTCATGACAATACAATGATTTTACAACATTTGATTCAAATGTATGATATGTCAAGATCTTTGGCTCAAAATTCTGATGGCTGGAAAGTCTAATACCAGCTGTCTTCCAATGTGTTGAAATAGAAATGAAAATGGTAGCATGGCTACATGGGGTGGCTTTGCTTTCCAACAACCTGCTCTCATGAAAAATATGATATTCTCCCCTGAGAATATCAATTCCTTCCAAAGGTGGTAACCCCATGACCAAATCACCTCCCATTAGGCCCCACCTTTTAAAAGATCCATCAATTCTTAATACCATTACATTAAGAACCAAGCCTCCAGCACGTGAACTGTTTACAGGAGAAACCACATCCAAACATAGCAAACTTGTATATGTTGCTTCCATTTCCTAACCACCCCAAAGACCCTGCTTAGGTCATTGACATAGGTAAGCTTAAGTTGACAAACCTGCAGAGGAAGCCACAATAGCTATTTCAACAGAAAATACATATTTAAGAAAACTCTTTATGAAAATATTTTAAAATATAATACATCTAAAATGTATATTTACATCTCTCTTTGTGGGACATTTTATTTAAATCAAATGACTTTTTCCACATTAATCCATTTCTATTCCAGTTTCATTGTACTTGTATGGGTATTAAAAATAGAAAAGCTGTTGTTAATCTTCCTTGAAAGTATTCAGATTTTCAAATTAGCTAATTCTGAAATCATCTGGATTTTTTTCATATATGGAAAAAATCTTTTTCATGTAAATATTTTGGGGTGCTGGCGATTGATCCAGGGCTCAGGCATGCAAAGCATATGCTCTACCATTGAGCTATACCCCCTGCCTCTTGCAGTGAATTTTATAAATAATAAAATCTTTGACATCAAGAATGACATTGCAAATTTTAATATTTGGCATTGGTGATTAATATGTTAGTAATATGAATGTAAATTTTGATGGAGCACATCATAACTAACAAGATACTCTTCCAAAATAAGGAATCCATGAGGCAGAAATGTACTTGGGATTGGCAGTGGTGCCCTCATTATCCACGATCACATGCATGCAAGTGATAATACCGAACAATTCAATTAGAGGTTGTAGCGCACACAGCTGTGCATGTCTCATATGTACCAAATTGAGATAATAAGGATTTGTGATCAAGATAAGCCAAAGGTGGGGCCGGGGTTGTGGCTCAGTGGTAGAGCACTTGCCTAGCATGTGTGAGGCACTAGGTTTGATCCCTGGCACCACATAAAAATAAACAAATAAAATAAAGGTATTGTGTCCATCTACAAATTTTATATATCTTTTTATGCGAGGCATATGCTCTACCATTGAGCTATACACCCTACCTTACACACACACACACACACACACACACACACACACACACACACACACACACATATATATATAAAACCTAAGTTTCAGCCTAGCAGCAAATGTCTCTTTTGTTGCCCGTCATCCCTTTGATTTTTGGAGTACTTGAAACTCTAAATAATTCTCAAACTATACATTCTCTAAAGCTATTTTGCTCTTGTAAAAAAAATCTTTTAGATTTTTGTCATAATTATTTGGACATTTTTAATGACTAAAGTGCTAATTAACTTCACTATTGGAAATTTTCATGAACAGAAGTGAATAAAAAGGTGTCAAAAAGGCAACTTTTATTCTCTACCAAAGCAAAAGTGTATATGGTACAAAATAAACTATGAGGTCAAAATGCTATATGCACCATTTTCTTCTTAAAATCTAAAGTGACACTTTAGATTATTTCAAAGAGTGGGGGAAATCTTTTGATTTTTGTTAGGATAAAAATATATTCTGCCAGGAAATGGAAAGAAATTGAGAAGCCATTTATATTTTGCAATAAATTTTCTTAAATGTTCAAAGGAATCACAGAGACATCTTATATTGTCCTGAAAATTGTTTGACAGATAAAGTCATATGGATGGATATAAAAAAATGGCCTTGAAAATATTTGGACTGAAATAGACATTTAATATTTAACATAGAGAGGGGAGAATATTCTCCATGTATTACATTTTTGTGAGTTCTCAAAGTATCTAAGTGCTTGTAGAGAGACTTTATCTTAATTGTGGTCTACAGTGGGGCTTATAAGATGTCAATTTAATGACCATTAAACTTTGAAGATGATTAAGAACAATTTTACTTAATATTAGAAATGAACAGATGACTTTATAATTGTATTTTCTTTGAAAAGTAACTCTTATGTGGGAGTATTGACAGATACAACTTAGGAAATCGGCTAAAATATATGATTATTTTCTATTAATAGCTATTCTTCACAGATTATAAAACAGTCACATAATAAGCATAAAGAGAAGTTTTTGTTTTAATGCACACAAAAATATTTTTATGTTTTAAAACAATGTTTATAAAAAATGAATTTCTAGTTCTTCAATGTAAGTAAACCAAGTTGTTAGTTGGTAAATATTCTAAAAATCATATAATTTCATTTGTTTTCACCTTTAAAATACAAAGGTATGGCTGATAAGATATTCCTTGACCCTAGATACAGTGGTGCTCTTTACCCTCATCTTTGGCTACTGAAGATTCAAATTAAAACATCAAATGCGATAAAAACCAAAAGGACATTTGGGAAATCACTTCATTTATTATTTTGGTGTGCTAATTCATGCTTTCTTCACAACCAGAACCTTTGTATTTGGTTGTTTCATAGGGGAAAAAAATTGGACAACTGAAATAGGAAGTTTTTATGCAATTCAATCACATGGAAATTTGAGTCATTTTCCAAGAAATTGTTTTGACCTAAACTGGATGCCACTGAAAAGAGGAAGCCACTTCTGCCCTTTGGGTCAAATTCCCCAGTGCTTTCAAATACTTCTTTACAAATGTGAATACTTGTTTAGCAGACAGAGATGGGTTTTCACCATTGTACTCCTTAAAACATATCAGTGGGTTGCTGATCGTGAAATTAGGTCGCTGTGGCAGCATATCTAATTTTTAACAAAAACTGCTTGAGGAATTGTAGTAAGGGAAAGTAAGCATTTAAAATTAGGGTTAAAAGTGAAAATATCTTCGAAGTTTGATGGTGCAAGAAGAAATAATAAACCTTACTTTGCTTTCTTTATGTATTGATTGGATGGAGGACTACAGAATGATACTATAAAAGTGTAGGCCAGATGGCAGGAAGTTACCAAAAGTTCTGCACGTATATTGTATTTAAACACCCAACCAGCACACTTCACAAGAGAGAGGCTGGCAAAGGTGCATGAAACCCCTGATTCTCTTTTTGGTCTGTTTCAATTCCAGATTCACAAACGAGGGCAGAGGCAAGAAAGGAAGCATGTACTTCTCAATATTTCTGCCACATTGGTGCTTTTACAAGAAATCCTTAGGGTGATGGATATTCCTTCACTCCATTCATGGCTCCATTTTGATTTGGAGCAGGGATTATAGGATGAAAATAATTTGTTTTTATTATAGGAATGTCCTCCTTAAATTTAGAAGCTTTTGTTCAGTAATTTAGCATAATTCTAACCAAAGTAAAATTCTAGATAAGAAATAAGTTTTGTAGAGTGGCTTGAGGTTTCATGTAGCTGGTGTAGTGACAACAATGACTCAGAAAGGCAGGACATTGAATAAATCCCAATTACAGGGAAGCTAGCACATACCAGCGAAATATAAGAAACAGTGTAAAACTACAACTCTCTAGGGAATTATCCTTCCTCAAACACTTGAGTGATTTCTATTTTTATAGCATTATAGCTATCTAGTATGGGTAAAATATAAAGTTTTCTACATGAAAGCTGAATTCATTTGTGGGAAGAATTGGAAACTGAGGAAGATGAACTTATATTTGCTTCCAACTTTCTGAAGAAATCAAAACTATTGAGCATCCTTCAAGGCATAATTAGTTAGCCTGCAGCCCTTAGTACTATATACTGTGGCTGTCTGTGCTTGCTCTGTGTCTAGGTGGTAAGCAGAGTTTCAGAAGTCACAGGTCTAGGAAGCATATTATGTGTAAGTCCAACATGACCTTTCAGTCTCTATGGGAGCATTTCTGAAGGACTGTGATAGAAGAGGGCTGGGGTGAATTTACATGTAACCTTATGTGGACAGAGGAAACCAGTTGGCCATACTTAAGGAATTGCAGATTTCTCTGAGGCAATCAACAAGTCCACAGGGAACTAAAGTCCCTGGTTCCAAAAGACTTCCATTCATTACATGATATTGAGGTAACGATGGAGCTTGGACACTATGACTGAAAGGTGAGTGAACAGATAATCATTTTGGGAGTCAATAAACATTAAAGTTGTGAAAAAATGTGATCTCTTGAAATCATTCTGTTGGTTAAAACTATGTTATTATAGCATGGTGTAATAATTTCCATAACGGAATGATGAGAAATGAAGTTACTGATTTATATCTTTCATGTTTCCCAGGAATCTGAGAGAAAGGGGTTAATTGAGAGAATCTACATGGTACAAGATATCGTTTCCACTGTTCAAAACATCTTGGAGGAAATAGCTTCTTTTGGAGAAAGAATTAAAAAGTAAGTTCTGCATATATGTTGTATTTAAAGTAGATTTGCCACCCACAAGGATGATGGGAGAAAGGGGGAATGGGATCAGAAAAATGCAAAAAACAAAAGCAGTGGTGTTGTGCAAACCAGTTTGACTTTGGTCGCTTGTTCTTTGGGCTTGTCAGCTTCACAGTTGGGTGGTGCCTCAGAACTTGGGTGACCATATGGCTTAGTTTACACTAGTTGTCCCAGCATAACTATTAATAGTGTCCTCTTTCACTTTCAGAAATATCCTGGTTTGGGTGATAAATTATAGATTAAAAAAATAGAATTGCCCTCTGCAGAAATAAAAAAGGAAGCAAGTATGCTTTAACAGAGACTTTTTATATCGGAACCTCAAGACACTGTGAAATTTTTTCACTCAATTCTCCAAAAAATTGTACAATATTAACACTGTAGATGATGGGTAGATACCAAGTCAATTCAGTGCATATGTGCATGGCATAGGATAGGAGTTGACAAACTCCTCTGTAATGGGCCAAAGAGTAAATATTTTCATAATCTGACACAACTACATAAGTCTTTTACTTAAGCATAAAAATAGAACAGTCAATACATAAATGATTGGGTATGTTACATGTGTTCCAATAAAACTTTATTTACAAAGAAGGCAGGCTGGGTTTTAATCAAACCCAAATCATTCTTTATTTTTGAGCATAAGTGATAACTTCTTTAACTGAGTCCAAGTTAAGACTATGATTCATGTTCTTTTTACACATTAAAATTTGTATTACATGCTCTTCATTTGGTACCATTAAAACGGGAGGTTTTCTTTCCTCCTTTAATCCACAATTGTGCCAGGAATGTTCTAAGAATTAACACTTATCTTATTTATTGGTCATTTCTCTTTACTATTATACTATTGTGTCATTATTTTCTGCTTTTACATGAGGGGGGGAAAATCACTAATTGCCAAATAGATTTCAGTAGCACTGGTGGTGGAACGAGGTAAGACAGGCTGCTGAAGAAGACTGACCCACCCCAGAAGGGACGCAGGGGACACAGCAAAGGAACAGTTGTTGAAGCAGCAACAACTTATAAGTATTTGCAAGAATAGGAAGAGATAACTGGGCAAGGAATGGAGGAGTGGGGCCTTCAGTAAGTGCGAGCCCTTGTGCACCAGCTCAAAGCAAAAGACAGGTAGATACAGGAAGATGGAGGACTCAGTATGTCCCTGCCATAGAGGATAGAGATGGCAATGCCTGGAGATGAGGTGTTTCATGCAGGACCTTCAGGGGATGGAAAAAGTCAATTAAAAAAAAAAAAAAAAAGATGAACTACTGGCAGCAAGGAGGGCGAGAGGATGTGGAGTGGGGGCAAGGCTGAGGAAGGAAGATCATGTGGTTTGGTAAAACTGGGTCCATTCTTAAAGGTCTCTAAAACACAAGCGTAGCTGTTGTGCAGTTGATAACATTAAAGGAAATGTGTCTGATGAGAGAAGAGGGCAGAGGGATTTAAACAGACTCTCGACTCTACGGTGTTTTTGAGGGGCAGCTGTGCCCAGCACAGCTGCGGCGACCATATCTGGGATGCATTTTCAACCCATCAACAGGGCTCTGTTCTGCCCAGCTGCAACACAGGAAGGCTCATACGGCTCAACTCCTATTAATTCTTTGGCCATTCATGATTATAGTGACCTTAGAGTCCCTGCTGTGCATTCAAGAGGGATTTCATGTGTAACTCTAATGGAATTCAGTGCTCAAGAACCAGGAAGACTTTTACCCAACTTTTGGCAACTAGCAAATAAACACAGTTACATAAAACTCTCAGAGCAAGGCTTCCCTGCCACTAACTGGGAGAAACCCAGTGGGGCTATATTTGCATGGAATAATAAACTATTTTCTTTTTTTTCCTACTCTACCTTCTCTAATCAGCTTCTCTAATATTAGGCACATTTTAAATATACAGATCTGTCTGACTGAAACATTTATTCAACTTGCAGCATTTATGTTAGTAGAGAGCATGGGTCAAAAGAGTGATGTATATTGTCTGTTTTATCATCATTGAGTGATGGCTTCAAACCTTTAGTGGCAAAGTCACCTCCATGGAGGAGATGAGATTAAGGCCAGAGTAAGCCATTTCTACACATATTCCAGAATAAATCTTGGAAGGTACATTCATATGAATTGAAGTTACTGTCCTTGCTATCACTGATGTTGTGAAATCCTCACCCATGTAGGTGGGAAAGCAGCTGAAATCACATACCCAGTGGAAGGCCATTGGGAATGACTGATGGTTGGATTTTGTGTTTGAGAATAACATGCCTAAAGTAACGGAGACAGAAAGACCACTGAGGGAACCAGCAACTAGGTGTGAGGAAAGCATTCATAAGGGAGTGTGAAAACTACACACGTGTGAGGAAGATACCATGTAGGAGACATGGCAAAAAATGAACCGTGGCTCTGGAGCCAAGATTTTGAGTTCAGATTTTTTATGTTCTGTCAGACAGGGAGTAAGTGATATTGGATAAGTCTTTCACTGTAAACTGGAAAAGACAATTATTCCTAGAGAAATTTTTTTGGGGGGAGAATAACATAAAAGCATACATCCTTAGGAATCTATCTCTGGATGGCATGTTTTAATAACATACTCTTCTTTGTAAATTGCCTTGAGTTTCTTCCTCTGTGTTTTAAACCCAATGAATGTTACCCCACCCCCACAACACCTGAGTTTTTGAAAGCACTTTAAGGTTGTGGGTTACTGAGGGGAAAAGTCTATTACTTGGCTGTTGGGAGGACAAATCTGTCAGGGCTTCTGATGCACAACTCCATTTCTTGCATCCAACATAAATCTATATGACTTATCTTACATGAACTGTGTTTGTATCATTATTAGGATGGCACCCATTGGAAGAAAGTTGGTATGGTGACAAAATTTAAGTTTGCTCATAGATAAACTTGTTGTCTTCTTCCATCCTTCTGGTCATTTCTATCTGTGTACTTTTTATATTTTTCTTTATAGAACTCTGAATTTTTTTGTGAGATAGAGTCCTAAAGATTTGGTTTGTTTGGCATTATTTTCTTCCTCTTATTTATATGTAGAAGTGAAGTTAATTTTCCTATATTGACTACGTTATATCTAATAGCCTTGGTAAACTTAGTTATCATCATTTTCTTAGGAAGATCATTTTGGATTATCTATTAAATTAACATATCATCTAATTTTCAATTTTCCAGTTCTTACACATTTTAATTTTTGAGCCCTACAATACTGCTGGTTTGTAGTTATAGGACAATGCTGAACAGAATTGGAGCTCACAGGCTTTCACTTTCTTATGCAGTTTCAGAGAGAAAGGTCTCAACAGTTCACCCTTAAGAATGATATTGGCTTTGGTTTTTGTTAAGATGATTTATCTAATTAAAGAAATTTCCTTTTATTCCTAGTTTGCTCAGAATTTTACATCATGAATGTGAGTTCAGTTTTGTCAAACACTTCTTTTTTTCTGCATTCTTGGAGAGGATCATATGTGCCTCCCTCCATTTTTTTTTAAATATGGTGTAATATAATGATTGTTTTTCAAGTATAAAGCCAATCTACATTGCTGGAATATATTCAACCATCCAGCTTTTTCTGTTACAAAATTCCTTCATATAGTGCTTGTTTTTATTTACTATTTCTGCCCCCTTAGTATTTTTGTAGCTATAATCATTAATGAAATTGATTGATAAATTTCTATTTGTGAAAATCCCTCATATACAGAAGGTTTTAAATACATAAAACAAGGTTATATGGACTGTCCTCTATCTATTCCCTGGAAGCAATTGTGTGTAAGTCTGGAGTCATTTCCTATAAGACCTGATAGTTTTGCTGGTGAGGTATCTGGGCTTGCAGTTTTCTTTCTGAGGTTTTTAATTAAATGTTCAGGTTGTTATATATTCTTCATGTGTTTTTCCCATTTTTTTCTCATCTGTTTATGTAAGCCTGAAGCCTGTAATTTTTAAAGAGTCTGTCCATTTTATTTATATGTTGTAACTTATCAAAATCTGTAGCTGGTCTACTGTTGTGATTTTTATTGTCCCCTGACCCCACCCCAGACACTCTTTTCTTCTTGACAGACATTTAAATCAATCAGTCCTTGGAAGGAACCAGCAATTACTATGCTCATCTTCTGTTTCCATCATTTTATTTGGCCTTAATGTATATTCTTTCTCTACCTCTTTAACATTGGTGATTAAGTCACTTATTTTCAATGTTTCTTCCTAATGTAAAGGTTTAAAGTTCTATGACTTTTGGTAAACACAACTTTTATTCCATGCCAAACATTTTGGCATGTAGTAATTTAATTTTTTTTTTCAAATGTAAGTAAAGCCATTCCTAGTTTGATTTCTTTCTTGGCTAAGAAGTGTATTACTTAATTTCCAATACACGTTGGGGATTTTCTAGTTATTATTTCTGGTTTTTAGTTTAATTACTTTAAGTTCACAAAATAGCGATACAACTATGGCCTACTTTTGCATATTTTTATTCAAGGTTGAAAAGTAGATTATTGGGTTATTGTGCTATCTGCTTGTTAGGTTTTCTCAAGTTCAGACCTTTTACATGTATAGTATCTTTGGACTTTGGTTGGCTACCTCTATCAATTAGAGTTGTGTTAAAACCTTCTACTGTGGTTGTGAATTTATCTTTCTCTGAGGTTTTGTTTTTGCTTACTATGTTTTTGAAGCTGTTATTTTGTTTTTATGTGTCCAAGTATTCATATTTTCTTGAATTATTTATCAATATGAAGGAACCTATTTAAAACTAATAAAACTTTCCTGTTTTCTTGATTTTTCATGTAGTTTTGTCACCTCCTCTTTTACTTCCTGATAAATAAATACCTTTCCAGTTTTCCCTTTAAACATACTTTCGTCAGATCTCAGTCCTGTACCTGGCAATCACAAACTTCAAGTTGTACCATGTAGTCTATTCAGAGTTTGTGTTCTTTTATAGACTTAAACCTGTGATTTTTAAGTACCCTCTTCATCCTTGCTCTTTATGTTCTACATTTTCCCTCTATTTCCTAGGAACGGAAACACTAACGCACTCTTGCTATTCTTTCAGTTGCCACACTACGTTAAGAGCATGATTTCCCATGGTCTAAAATTGTCTGAAACCTTCTTTGTCTGTGTTCCATGTCTCTGAACCTCTTTGCTATCATTCCTTGTTTTGGGCTCTGTGATGCTAAGTATTTTTTTTTTTTTGCATGATCTTGCACTATCTAGATTCCTATGCAAAACTTCTGTTTAGTTCATTGAATTTCTAACTGTAATCATTATAGTTTTCATTTTTCAATGCTTCTTGGTCATTTTTCATTCCCTAGTTTGACTTTTACCATATTAAATATTTAATTT